TATATATATATATATATATATATATATATATATATATATATATTGCTGTCTCCTTTTTAATATAAACAACACCAACTGTCTCCTTTATTATATAAATGTAATATAGCTTGGGGCCCCCAAAGGTGGGGTTGTTGTTTGCATGCGTTCTAGGGTTTAGGGTTTAGGGTTTACTCGTATGTGTTACTAGTGGCTTAGAGGGGGGCCCCCCTTGGGGGCCCCCAGGATTGGTGGTGTATTATAATAATAATAATATAAAAAGAATATAAATATATATAATATAACTGACACCGTGAAACAACAACAACAACAGCAACAACAAAAAAAAAAAAAACAAAAAACAAAGAAGAAAAGAAACAAACAACAAATGCAGAAAGCACAAAGGATAAAGAAAGAAGATAACGCCGCATAAAGAGAGAGAGAGGGGCCCCCTGCTGCAGGGTACTATGGCTCGGGGGGCCCCCCTTCTACAAGCTCAGCTACAGGGGGCCCCTTCTCTGTGTTCGTGTCATCTCCACGGGGTGTATAGGCAGCTGAGAGAGTGGGGGCCCCCCAACAGGGTACAGTGCAGTGGGGGGGCCCCCTCGCGTCCCGCTGCAGCAGGGGGCCCCCAGAGGGGCCCCCTTACCCGGGTGTACATGCAGGTCCTGCAGAGGGTGTGGGGTTAGGGTATTTGGGTTTAAAGAAAAGAATATAAAAGAGGTGCAGCTGCCTATACACCTGAAACGTTTCTATGGTGCTGGCGGTGCATGCATAAGCAAGGAGACTGTTGCTTGTGCACTCAGCAGCAGCAGCAGCAGCAGCAGCAGCAACAGCAGCAGCAGCAGCAGCAGCAGCAGCAGCAGCAGGTTGTGAGTTTCTGGGGTGTATATGCAGCTACCTTCACAGCTAGTATCTCACCGTATCCCCTGGGGTGTATATACAGCTGCAGTTTGCGCTCCTTAGAATGAAAAAATAAATTAATAAAACGAAAATAATATTATTTAATTTATTAAATAGTTTATAATAATTATTTTATGCATGCAATAGAAAGTTTACGAGAGCAGCAGGGGGCCCCCTGGGTTGGTGTGTGGTGTACATACACTCCATCACCAGGGGGTTCAGCTCCTTTGTTTCTTTTTCTCTTTTATTTTTTCTGCGTTTTTCTCTCTTTTCTTCTATTTTCTCTTTTTATATTACTCAAATAATTCATTGCAGCAGCGCCACTCTTGCTGCTGCTGCTGCTGTTGCTGCTGCTGCAGTACCCCCTGCCGACAGCTACAGGGGCCCTTGGGGGCCCCTGCAGCTGTTTTTCTTTTTCACTGCTGCAGGGGGCCCCCGATGCCCTAAACAAAAACTATTACTTTTAGAGGGGCGTGGTCTCCGCTTTCTTTCGTTTTTGTTGCGGCATTAGCCGTTACTTGCTGCTGTTGCTGCTGCTGTTGCTGCTGCTGCTGTTGCTGCTGCTGCTGCAGCTGCAGGGGGGCCCCCGGCTCCATGCTTCGCTGGGGGCCCCTGTCGCAGCTCCGCCTGGGATGCGGGGATGAACCCACCGGCCCCACATATGGGGGCAGGGGCCCCCCTGTCCCCCCGCTGCAGCAGCAGCTGCAGCAGCAGCAGCAGCAGCTCCAGCAGCAGCAGCAGCAGCACTAGCAGCAGCACA